AGTCTCGCTCTTGCTCAGGCTGGTCTTGAACTGCTGAGCTCAAGCAATCCTCCTGCCTCGGCCTCCCAGAGTGCTAGGATTACAGGTGTGAGCCACCACTCCTGGCCGATAGTGTTTGATTAAAGCAAGTAAATGACTAGTAAGGGATAAGACTGGAGATGTAGATAGTGAGTGGATTGTGATGGGCTTGCATGCCAGCTTTACGAGATTAGATTGTATCTGTAGTTTGCAGGAGTTAATATTTAGGAGCAAGTGGATGATACATTTAAAAGAATATTTGAGGAAGTTCAGTTTGACATGTGAATGGAAGATGGAAAATACCAAATGCAAGGAAACCATTGCCATAATTTATGGGTAAAAAAAGAAAGAAAGAAACTTGTGTTCATTGAGTGCTACATGCTTCCTGCTCTGCAAGCATGTTGGGAGTGGTATTAGGAATGAAATAGAACAAGTTCTCCAAGGCATGTAATATAAAGCAAGAGCAGTTAATTGTGTGCTGAGCTCTGGGTCAAGTCCACATTTAGAGGATTATAGCAGGAAGTAAATCAGCAAAAGTTTCAGAGAAAGGAAACAGGAGAGCACCAGGAAGTCCAGTGGGGATAAGAATTTTCACTGTAAAATGTTGCAGTGAGCTGAGAGAATGAATAGATTTTTGGGGGTAAACTTTTAAAATATAGTATTACATTCAGACAAATGCACACATTACAATTGTAGAGCTTGATGAATTTTTACACTGTGAACACTTTACCATAGGCCTTACCAGTACTCAGAAGCCTCCTTCATGCCCTCTTCCGTTGATAAAACGACTCAAAGGGGAAACCACTATTCTGATTTCTGTCAGATTATTTGTACCTGTTCGTTGGAATTGTATTGGAATTGTACAATGAACTCTTGTGATAGCTCGTTTTTCTTGATATTATGTTTGTGAGATTCACTGTGTTATATTTAATATTGCTGTGTAGTATTCCAGTGCATGAATATACCATACTTTACTTATTATACTATTGATACGTATTTGGATTGTTTCCAATTTGGGGCTATTAGAAATAATACTGCTGCGAACATTCTTATATGTATACATTTCTGTTGGGAATGTACTTAGGATTGGAGCTGTTGAATCATAGGTTATGAATGTGGTCATTATTAGTACACAATGTCAAAAAATACCAGTTTATCCTCCTGCCAGCAATATATGAAAGCTCTCCACATCCTTATCAACATTTGGTATCTTCAGCTTTCAAAATTTTAGCTATTCTGCTGAGGGGTATAATAGTAATTCATTGTGGTTTTAATTTGCATTTCCCTAATAATTAATGAAGGTGGGCATCTTTTCACATACCTGTTGGCACTAGGCTAGCTTCTGTTATAAAGGGCCAGTTGGAATATTTTTCCCGCTTAAAGAAACTGCATTGTCTGGTTTTAAGATTTTTTCTATTTTTTAGTGACTTGTAAGCTTCTTACATATTCTGGATTCATATCCTCGTCAGATATGTGTATTGCAAATACCTTTCTATACTCTTAATGGTGCATTTTGATGAATAGAAATTATTTATTTTAATGAATGCTAATTTATCAATCTTTTACCTTAAGGTTAGTATTTTTTTGAGTACTATTTAAGACATCTTTGTCTCCCACAGGTTATGAAGATAACCTCCTATTATTTCTAGGAGCTCTATTATTTTACCTTTTTAATTTAGACCTGTAGTCTGTCAAAAATTGAGTTTTATGTATGATGTAAGGTAGAGTCAAGAATTCAAAGTTTGTCCTCTTTTTTTTAAATATGTGGACATTCAGTTAACCCATCACCATTTGTTGAAAAGATAGTCCCTTCCTCTCTGCAGTGCAGTGGTCCCTTTGTTGTAAACCACGTGAGTGTAACTCACTGTTGATAAGCAAGGGTCTGTGCAGGGGGAAACATTACTCTGGGTCTTAAATAGTAGTTATAGCCCAGAGAGGGGTTTACAGAATGGTAGATCTTCCAGTTAATTAGGAATATATTATAAAACTATTTTGCTTTCTCCTTTCTTTTATTGTTTTAACTATGGAATTAACTTCAAATTTATATAAAATTTATAGAAATAGTGCATAGAGCTCCCATGTACCCTTCACCCAGATTCCCCATTGTTAGCATATCTGAGCCATTTGGGAATAAATTGTAGATATGATGTCCCATTACCCCTTTGTACTTCAGTGTGTATTTCATAAGCCGTGGACACTCTCTTATCAGGAAATTAACATTGATAGGCATTACCATTTAACCTAGACTTTTCTCATCTCACTAGTTGTCCCAGTAAAGTCCTTTAAAGATCGAGGATCTGATCAAAATCATATGTTACATATATATACTTACTTCTCTTTGTTCCACTCCATCTGGAACAGTTCCTCAGTCTTTCTTATCTTTTATGACCATAACATTTGTGAAGAGTACAGGACCACATAGTTTGTACAGTGCCCCTCAACTGAGTTTGTCTGGCATTTCTTCATAATTTATGCATTTTTAGCATGAATACCACAGAAATGACCTGGATTCATCTTTAATGTTTTGTATCAGGAGACACTGATATTGATTTGTCTCAGTAGTGATGACTTTTGTCATGTAGTGAAGAGTATGCCGGGCTTCTCTTTTGTAAAGTTAATTAATAAGAATGTTTTGTTATTAAATAGTAATTATTAATATTAAATACTATATTCTGAGGAGATATTTTGAGACTATTCATAAATATATATAAATATTCTTTTCTTTATCCAACTTTCTTTCACTTTCCAGATTTAGCATTCATTGATAAATCTTGTCAGAATCAATTATGACCCTGAAGGTTGCCAGTGGGTGATGTTTTAATTCCAGTGTTCTATATAGATTTGTTAGTTGACATGGTACCTAAGGGTAGAGCTTTCTTTTTTCTCTCATCTTTTTTGTTTGTTTATTTTCATCATTTGTAGACTCTTGGATTCTTATTCTATTTATAGGTTTATAATCTGTTACTATCATTATCTGTTTTGATGCTCAGATCATCCCAGGTTGGCCAGTGCTGTGGCCCCTTCACTCTGACTCCTGTGTCCTCCTTATATTTCTCCATCATTCTCTGGACTCTTCTGACTTTCTGGCATAATCACATATATATTCCCAGGTCATCTTGTATTTTCCTTGCCCCAGCCCTGTAGCCAGCCATTTCTCCATGGAGCCCTGGAGAAATTAATTGAAATGATTAATAATTAATCATTTCATTTATTCAACAAATATTATTGAGTGACTGCTATTTTCCAGGGATTTTTCTAACTTCCTACAAAGCAGTTTCAAGTGTTAGTAATACGTTGCTCCTTCAAAACTAGTTATGGCATTTTTCTTTCACCTGCTACATATAGGAATACAAAACTGTTAATATATACATTTGTACACCTAATTAATTGGCCTTTTTACATGTATCACTGATAAATGTAGAAATTTCCGCTAGTGTATCTAAGA